TCATCTCCATGATCACCAGGGTACACATCTGCCCTTTCCTCTTTTTGCCTCCTATAATAAACGTGCTGTTTTATTTAAGCCTAGATATGGAGAGTATTTATTGAACAAATACATTTAAAGTTGCATTGATTCTTACAATTACCTACACAGTAACAACACTGCAAATATTAATAGTATATTAAAATTAATTTTTCATTATAAGGGTGCTGTGGAAATTTTTTTAATCTTTTTTTTTTTTTTACTACAAAAATGCATTGATTTTTTATTTTTATTTTACTATAAGTGTGTATTGAAAATGAATTGTACAATATGAATGCATTAGAAAATGATTTCTTAATAGGAATTCATTGGAAAATGCTTTTCACTATAGGAATGCACTGAAAAATTATATCTACTCTAAGAATGCATTGGAAATTATTTTTACTATAGAATTGCATTGGAAAATGATTTTTACTATAGGAATACTTTGGAAAATGATTTTTACAATAGGAATGCATTGGAAAATGATTTTTACTATAGAAATGCATTGGAAAATGATATCTACTAAAAGAATGCATTGGAAATTATTTTTACTATAGAAATGCATTGGAAAATGATTTTCAATATAGGAATGCATTGGAAAATGATTTTTACTATAGAAATGCAATGGAAAATGATTTTTACTATAGAAATGCAATGGAAAATGATTTTTACTATAGAAATGCAATGGAAAATGATTTATAAATATATTGCCAATTATTTTGTTATAAAAAACATTTCATGTTATCCTAATTCTGTTCATCCTATTCCTGATGCTATGGGTAAGATGAATTTATAAATACATGAAAATTTTCATGAATTCTCATAACTAATTGAGTGCAATACCTGTTGAAAATAACGTGGCTACTTAATTATAAATCATCACTTCTGCTTAGAACTAATATCCATTTGATCCGAGAAAATTGTTACACTATATATAATAATATATATTAATATCAGGTATCTCCACTAATTCTCCGAAAAAAAAAGAAGCATACTAAGATGAAAAAAATGCCCCAAACTTGATGAAAACTAAGTTTTATTGTCAAAATCTTTGTTTTTATTAAAAGAAAAACAAAAGTATTTTTTAAATATTTGATTAAATCGTTTAATCCTTTTTAAAACATTCAAAATTTTGATTAATTATGAAATTCAGCATGATAATTTTTAGTGACTATATTAGTCAAAAGCAGAATACTTTGGAGAATTTAAACCATCAATTTATTTTGGTAAAATTGGACCGTGTCTTTGTGAAAATCTACTCTGAATTATAAATTAAAAACAATAAAACTAAGACATCATTTAATTAGCAAAGCTTTTAATTGCTTTTATGAGCAATTATATATTAAGGACAGTATTGTCTTCAGAAATAAAAATCTTTCAATGAATAATGAATTTTTACAAGATGTTTTCTTTTTTTATAATAATACTTAGAATAATTTACAAAGTTTTTAAATCTTTTAAAATTCACTTTCAATGGTGTAACTGTTAGGGAATTTTGTTATGAAGTAAAACTATGTATACTCATAAATCATAAAACTTATTACAATTTATAGACACTGTATAAATTTATAGACACTGTATATATTTTAAAAAGTATTTTGAATTGTTTTGTATGTGTATAAACATGCTGATTTTTGTAGAAACAGATGTCCATATATAACAATGCCAAAAAAACAAGAATGACAACTATAGTAAATTTACAACCAAAAGTATCTAAAATTCAATAAAACATTAGATAATGGAGAATATTTTCTTAAATTTTTAAGATTACTAAGTACTTAAAAGTTATATATAAAAAGGCACTCACGTTATATTAAGTTATTTTTTATGCCTAAAGCCACCATAGAACAACATTAGATAAACATCAATCTGTCATCCAACTGTCAAACATGTCAACAGTTTAAATAAACAGCTACTACTGTGTTAAAAATGTCTGTCTGTCATATTTTAAAGTTAAAGTATCTAACATTTATTTCAAATCATATTAATTATACTTTAAATCAACTAATACTCCTCAAATAAAATTTTAGAGAAGTATACTTTATTTTTGGAAGATTTTTTTAAACAATGAAAAACAACTAAAAAAGGGTGTTAATCAGCTATTTTAACCAAAAAAATAAACTCCTTCCAGTCTATATTTCTGAAATGAGGTATTGTAATTATTTACATTGTTCAGACTGTTGTTCTCATCTTTATTACCATGTTCACAAAGTTCCAGTTCTTGTATGCTACAGCCTTCTTCAGGTGATTGGAATTTCGAACTGAACCCTTTATTTCATCCACCAGGATAGATTGTTCTAGTCCTTAAGGACACATTGGCCAGTGGATAAAAGCATTGGTTGGATCCCAAAAGTTATGAGTTCAATACCTAGCTACAGCAGTGGTGAACAAAAAACTTGGACTGTTGACTTAAAAGGGAGATAACTGAGACATCCAGAAGAGTCACAGCATGTGGAACTAGAACAATCTACCCTAAGCAAAGGGTTCAGTTCAAAATTCGAATCACCTGAAGAAGGCCAGAGTGTACAACAACCAAAACATTGTGAATATATTCATAAAGATCTTCTCCCGATGTTTTATATATTTATATTTGTGGTGTAATGAATATCAGCTCAGAGTGAGAATTCAGAGAGCCAAGTTCAAATTCCAGTTGAGTTTGTTAGATTCACTTGCACACAAATACTATTGGGAATGTATGAATCCATCTCTTTTCCCCCAGCTATGGGTTAAATAGCAAAACAGACTGGGTTCTTTAGCCTCGGTTAGCAACCAGTCTACAGCAAAAAAGAATGTCAACCTACTGCGTGAAAAAATCTGCCTCATGTATCGAAAGATACATAATCGCCCAAGCGTGTATCATGTATGGTACTGACTGATATGTTATATATTGGGCACGTGGCCAAGTGGTTAGAACATTCATGAGATGAGACCCAGGTTTGAATCTCACCATGGTCGATTTGTCAGGAAGGTGACTTCCTGATGTTATCAGACTGGAGGGGTTGTTTCCAGCATATGGCCTCTTTGGAAAGTGCCTGAAAACCATACCACAGGTTGACTTAAGCCTTGTAAGTAAAATTGGGTGGATGGAACTTTTGGGGCCATCGATAGCTGTCCTAGCACAAAGTCACAAGTCATCGTTGCCAAGGGATTGAGTGCACTGGCAGTGTTGATCATGCTAGATAACACACTCTTTCCCAGAAACTGTAAATAAGGTCTGCTCAGCATAGTTGCAGTAGAAACCACAGGTGAGCTCTGTGGATGTTGAACAAACATAAATGTGCCTGAGCAAGCGTCTGCAATAGGGATTGGCTAGCTGCCCTACTAGATGGGTATCCTCAAATACGAGTGGCCGGCTATATAATATGTTATATATATATATATATATATATATATATAGATATAGATATGTCCATTTTTAAAGCCTTATTGAGGCTGAGTTGCTTTATACTCCCCACTCCAGGTATGGGTTAAACAGCACAGCAGAGTGAGTTCTCTCGCTCTGGGTCTAAGTCTAAAAGGAAGAAAACTCTGAATTCCAAACTGTAGTGAAAGCCCTGGGAAACCACTCCACCATCTTTTGCAAGCAAGAGAAATGAAAGAAAAACAAATCAAAAGTTAATTACCTTCTTTACAGCAGCGAATATTGGACAATTTCCTCAAAGATGAAGAGATTCGAGGCAACAGAGATGTGGTTCTAAAGAAGGATGCTAAGGATATCATAGACTGAGTATGTGAGCAACGATGAGATCTTAGAGAGGTTGCAAACAAGAAGGAGGCTTATACTTAACATCAGGAAGAGGCAACTGAAGTTTCTGGGACACATAATGAGGAAGGAGGGTCTGGAGAATCTGATACTCTCAGGTTGAAAAGAGGGAAAAAGAGACAAGGGAAAACAACACGTGGCATACCTGGAAGACTTAGGCAGGTGGATGACAGTATGTGGTCTGGGGGAGAAAGAAGAGGGAAGGAACTTCTTGAGAGCTGCAAGAGATAAGAGGGAGGTGGAGAGCCATGACACCTACATCCTGAAAGGACATAGCACATAAAAAGAAAAAGAAGACTATGTTTTATTATTATTATTTATTGTAAAGAAGCAAGAGAAAAAAGATGAAAGAAAGACTAATAAAAAAAATAATATTTGTGACAGGGCATCATGAAAGGAATTCAGAAAACTTAAGACTATTAAGGGCTTGAAAAATTTGATACTCACAGGACAGATTGTAGGCAAGAGAGACAGAGGAAAACAATGCATAACCTACCTAGATAGCATGTGTGAAGCTTAGGAGGGTTAACAAAACAAAATTTCTTATGAGCTACAATTTGTGGAGAGCCATGATTGCCAATGTCCTGAAGGGATATGATACATAGACGAAGAAGACTGAAGCAGAGTTGCTTTATTCTTCTACCTCAGATATGGGTTAAATATCACGGTAGAGTGAGTTCTCTTGTCTTAGGTCACAATTAGTCTAAGAGAAAGGTAACTGTCATTCCCAAACTATAGAGTAGGCACTGTGAAACCATTCCACTATCTTTCCCAAATAAGCAGATCAATTCACAGATAATAAAACAAAAAGGAATCTGTGGAGAGCCATGGTTACCTACATCCTGAAAGAACATATTAATTAAAAAAAAATATGATAATAACCTTTAAAATTTTCTTTAGGATAATTATAGAAGAGACAATATGTCATAAAAGCAAATCTGAATACAAACAAGTGATATGTTTTTTAAGAATTTCAAATTAAACAAGAAAATTTGTTTGACAAATGACCACTATATAAAAGTCAGTGTGTCTATTTTATTCTCTATTAATGCTGAAAATTTCCCAGCCTTAATCACTTCTCAAAATCTGACCAAATGGCTAAATTTTAGATTTTTTTTTTTTTTTTTCTGGTTCGGGGAATCCCTTCATGGTTGGGTCAAGAGTTTTTTTTTTAGCACCCACTCCCCAATATGAAATAAAGAGAAGCACATCGGCAATGGCTGCAGAACCTGCTAAGTATGAAGCAAACAAGTTCTTCCTTTCTTTCTTGCAGGGAAGGAATTGCCTTCTCCCCTCCCCACCAATGAGTTTTGATGAAAACATTTTCACAAATAGACATAAAAGTCTTAAGCAACAGTCTTCTTTTCATCCGTATGTCTATCACCATTTCTGCTTTCTTTGTGATCCACCCACAATCTAGATAGACCAAGGTAAAAAAAAAAAGCCGGGGGGGGGGGAATGGGGGTTGTGAAGGAAGAACAAAGCACTAAAAGAATGGAAAGACCATCCAAGATGGATAAAAATCATATAAGGAATACAGCAATAAATGAATAGTAATAAAAAGGGAGGTGGGAGGAAAAAAAACAAATAAAGAGAAAAACTGAAGAGTTTCTTTTTTTCCTTCATTTAGCTGACTCATTCATCATGTCTGTATTTTTTCTTTTCTTCCCTCTCTCTGCCTAATTTCTTATTTTCCTTTTTCTTCTTCTCTTTTCTATTTTTTCCTCCTTTTCTTTCTTTCTCTTTGCTTCCTTTCAATCTATTTTTTCCTCCTTTTCCTTCTTTCTCTTTGCTTCCTTTCAATCTATTTTTTCCTCCTTTTCTTTCTTTCTCTTTGCTTCCTTTCAATCTATTTTTCCTTTTTCCTTTTTCAATCTATTTTTCCTATTTTTTCCTCCTTTTCCTTCTTTCTCTCTGCTTCCTTTCAATCTATTTTTTCCTCCTTTTCCTTCTTTCTCTCTGCTTCCTTTCAATCTATTTTTTTTCTCCTTTTCCTTCTTTTTCTCTTTGCTTCCTTTCAATCTATTTTTTCCTCCTTTTCCTTCTTTCTCTTTGCTTCCTTTCAATCTATTTTTTCCTCCTTTTCCTTCTTTCTCTCTGCTTCCTTTCAATCTATTTTTTCCTCCTTTTCCTTCTTTCTCTCTGCTTCCTTTCAATCTATTTTTTCCTCCTTTTCCTTCTTTCTCTCTGCTTCCTTTCAATCTATTTTTTCCTCCTTTTCTTTCTTTCTCTCTGCTTCCTTTCAACCTATTTTTCCATCTTATTCTGATCTCTTTTGAACTTATTCTTTCTTCTCTCAATCTTAATTCTCTTTCTTTTTTCTTCACCCATAAAAATTCATTTTTCTAAAGATTCTTGTTCTTTTTGCTTACAACTTTTACCCTGCTTCCTTCCCTGTTTTTGTCTGGCTGTGCATTTAAATTCCTTTTTTTAACCTTATTTCTTTTCTTTGTATTTCTCAACTCTTTTTTACATTTCTCTTTTACTTCTTTCTTTCTCTTTACATTTGTACTTTCTTCCTTTCTTACTCTTTTCATTTTTCCTCTCTTTCTTCTTCTTTGTGTTTCTCTTCCGTTTCTTTCTCTGTTTGTTTGCATTTCTTCTCTCTTTCTTTCCTTTCATCTTTTCATTTCACCTCTCTTTTATTTTATCTTTACTTTCTCCTTCCTTTCTTTCTCTTTTATTTCTTTCTTTCTGTGCTTTCTTTCTCTTTGCATTTCACTTCTTTCTTTGCATTTCTATTTCATTTTTTCTCTGTTTGCATTTCTCCTCTCTTTTTTTCCTTTTTCTTTGTTTTCTTTCTCCTTGGATTTCTCCTCCCTTTCTAATTCCATTTTTGTAGCCTTTCTCTTTTTATTTTTCTGCCTTTCTTTCACTTTCCATTTCTTTTTTTTTTCTCTTTTTCTATAGATTTCTTTCTTTTCTCCTGTTTCTTTTTCCCTTATCCTTAATTTTTTCTTTTCTTGCTCTCTTTTTATCTTTCCACTATCATCCCTACACCTTTCTTTCACCCCCCCCTTCTCTTTCTTTCTTTCTTTCTTTGTTTTGTTTACTTCTCTTCCTTCCTACATCTCTTTACCTAGAATATCTCAGTTCTTTCTGTCTGATCATTAAATATCAGAAAAAAAAGAAAAATCCATCATCTCCCACAACCAACAACAGAAAAGAAAAAAAAGATGTCAAAAATCAGCAAATGCATATTAAAATCAGGAATAAGGAATAAAAGTGGGAGGAATCAAAGAAAAAAAAATACATAAATAAATAAAAATAAAAAAAAAAAGCTAAGTAAAAAGAGACAAGCAAGCAGATCAAAGATCCTAATGGTTTGTTTATGGGGCGTGGGAGTCAGAGAAGAACTAGTGCCAGGTTCCAGAAATATGAGCAGTTATCAGATATATAAATGCATTCTTCTATATGCCTACATAAATATACTGCATTTATTTAGCTACAATATGAAGCATGATGATCAGTTATCACGCACACACAACAAAAGGAATTGTAGACAATGTGTGCACACATCGATATATGATACTAGATTTAACCCGTGAAAATTTCACGGCTTTCCTATTTGAAATTTCTGATGAATCTTAATTCATCAGTTAATGATTGAATAAGTTTATGGCAAGTTCTACAACAATAAAATATCCATAGAAATTCCCCTATCACATCGTTAAATATTTGAGCCTAACAACTTTAACAAAATATTGCAATAACAATCATAAATATGAATGCTGGTCGTTATTTTAAGAAGTAAGGGGATACAAATGAAAAGATTTGAAATTGACAACTTTTTCCAACAGACAGTAAACACTTCTATCTTCCCTTCTTTCTTTCATTTTCTCATTGAAACCAAGTAGCATCTTTTATATATTTTCTCATGTGATCAAAATGAAATAGTCCATTATTTATGAGGTATTAGCAGGAGATATTAAACATTTCCATCTTTCTTTCTTTTTTTTTTCACTGAAACCAAGTAGTTTCCCATATATGGCTTTTGTTTTTCCATACAATCAAAACAGAATAGTCCATTATTTATTAGGTATTGACAGGTTGTAATACTTGTAAAAACTAAGTAATGAAAGGAAAGACAAGCACAATTATTATATACTAAAGAAAAAGAGATTGACAACTCTCTGCAAAGCATACATATAAATATACAAAACCGGATATAAGAGAGTTGTCGGAATTTTATATACATTAACACAGGCTCTAATTTGGGACCAGAAAATCTCTCTTATATCCGGGTTTCTCTTATATCCGGGTTTGGTCTATTTTATGTACATTAACACAGGCTCTAATTTGGGATCAGAAAATCTCTCTTATATCCGGGTTTTCACATTTAGAGAGAACATATTAAAGAAGTTTTTAAATTATACAGTTAACCCGGATATAAGAGAGTTGTCGGGACCGAGAAGAAGTCTCTTATATCCGGGTTTGGTCTATTTTATGTACATTAACACAGGCTCTAATTTGGGAGCAGAGAAAATCTCTGCAAATTAGCATTTAGAGAAACATAAAAGAAGTATTTTAAATTATACAGTGTAACCCGGATATAAGAGAGTTGTCGGGACATTAACACAGGCTTTAATTTGACCAGAGAAAATCTCTTATATCCGGGTTTCTCTTATATCCGGGTTTGGTCTATTTTATATACATTAACACAGGCTCTAATTTGGGACCAGAGAAAATCTCTCTTATATCCGGGTTTCTCTTATATCCGGTTTGGTCTATTTTATGTAAAACACAGGCTCTAATTTGGGACCAGAAAATCTCTCTTATATCCGGGTTACACTACAATTTTTTCTTAGCACATTTAGAGAGAACATATTAAAGAAGTTTTTTAAATTATACAGTGTAACCCGGATATAAGAGATTGTCGGGACCGGAGAAGAAGTTGTTTGGGTCTATTTTACCAGAGAAGAAAATCTCTTATATCCGGGTTTGGTCTTATTTTTTATATACATTAACAAAGGCTTTTAATTTGGGACCAGAACCCGATATAAGAGAGTTGTCTTATATCCGGTTTCTCTTATATCCGGGTTTGGTCTATTTTATATACATTAACACAGGCTTTAATTTGGGACCAGAGAAAATCTCTCTTATATCCGGGTTTCTCTTATATCCGGGTTTGGTCTATTTTATACATTAACACAGGCTCTAATTTGGGACCAGAGAAAATCTCTTTATATCCGGGTTATATCCGGGTTTGGTCTATTTTTATTAGCAATTTGGGACATTTAGAGAAACATTTTTATTAAAGAAGTTTTTTAAATTATACAGTGTAACCCGGATATAAGAGAGTTGTCGGGACCGGAGAAGAAGTCTCTTATATCCGGGTTTGGTCTATTTTATGTACATTAACACAGGCTCTAATTTGGGAGCAGAGAAAATCTCTCTTATATCCGGGTTACACTACAATTTTTCTTAGCACATTTAGAGAGAACATATGAAAGAAGTATTTTAAATTATACAGTGTAACCCGGATATAAGAGAGTTGTCGGGACCAGAGAAGAAGTCTCTTATATCCGGGTTTGGTCTATTTTATATACATTAACACAGGCTTTAATTTGGGACCAGAGAAAATCTCTCTTATATCCGGGTTTCTCTTATATCCGGGTTTGGTCTATTTTATATACATTAACACAGGCTCTAATTTGGGACCAGAGAAAATCTCTCTTATTTTCTCTTATATCCGGGTTTGGTCTATTTTATGTACATTAACACAGGCTCTAATTTGGGACCAGAGAAATCTCTCTATATCCGGGTTACACTACAATTTTTATTAGCACATTTAGAGAAACATATTAAAGAAGTTTTTAAATTATACAGTGTAACCCGGATATAAGAGAGTTGTCGGGACCGGAGAAGAAGCTCTTATATCCGGGTTTGGTCTATTTTATGTACATTAACACAGGCTCTAATTTGGGAGCAGAGAAAATCTCTCTATATCCGGGTTACACTACAATTTTTTCTTAGCACATTTAGAGAGAACATATGAAAGAAGTATTTTAAATTATACAGTGTAACCCGGATATAAGAGAGTTGTCGGGACCGGAGAAGAAGTCTCTTATATCCGGGTTTGGTCTATTTTATATACATTAACACAGGCTTTAATTTGGGACCAAGAAAATCTCTCTTATATCCGGTTTTCTCTTATATCCGGGTTTGGTCTATTTTATATACACCAGGCTCTAATTTGGGACCAGAAAAAATCTCTTATATCCGGGTTTCTCTTATATCCGGGTTTTCTATTTTATGTACATTAACACAGGCTCTAATTTGGGACCAGAGAAAATCTCTCTTATATCCGGGTTACACTACAATTTTTATTAAGAGATATTAAAAAGTTTTTAAATTATACAGTGTAACCCGGATATAAGAGAGTTGTCGGGACCGGAGAAGAAGTCTCTTATATCCGGGTTTGGTCTATTTTATATACATTAACACAGGCTCTAATTTGGGACCAGAGAAAATATCTGGGTTACACTACAATTTTTATTAGCACATTTAGAGAACATATTAAAGAATTATTTTAAATTATACAGTGTAACCCGGATATAAGAGAGTTGTCGGGACCGGAGAAGAAGTCTCTTATATCCGGGTTTGGTCTATTTTATATACATTAACACAGGCTTTAATTTGGGACCAGAGAAAATCTCTCTTATATCCGGGTTTCTCTTATATCCGGGTTTGGTCTATTTTATATACATTAACACAGTCTCTAATTTGGGACCAGAGAAAATCTCTCTTATATCCGGGTTTCTCTTATATCCGGGTTTGGTCTATTTTATATACATTAACACAGGCTCTAATTTGGGACCAGAGAAAATCTCTCTTATATCCGGGCTTCTCTTATATCCGGGTTACACTGTATTAGGCTAATACAAAAGTTTCTCGTATTATAATGACAAACCATCTAGTTCAGAAGAAATTAAAACATGACTGATGCCTCTTATTACAACTAAATGGATGCAAATAAGTTGAAAGAAAGACTAATAAAAAATTACTATTCATGACAACGCTTCATCAAAGGAATTCAGAAAACTTAAGACTTAAGCTTAAAACTTAAGGGCTTGGAAAATTTGATACTCACAGGACAGATTGAAGGCAAAAGGGACAGGTAAACAATACATAACTTACTTAGTGGGATTAAATAAGGTTTAGGAAATATAACAAAATCTATTAAGAGTTATAGAGAACACAAAATTGTGGAGAGCCATAATTAACAATGTCCTCAAGGGACATGGTACATAGAATAAGAAGATTGAG